ACTGTACTTGTCTGAAGGGAGGGGGAGTCATTTTTATGTATCTTTTTTCTTATTTTTTTTTTCTTTCTCTTTGTACTTTCTTTTCTTTTTATATTTTTATTATTTTTATCTTTGTATTTGTAAACTTTAAAATTATTACAAAATAGACAATATAAAAATAAGCAACAAATATATGGAAAAATAACAATAACACAATGGCAGAACCAGCCAACAAGATAAACATGTCATATACCCACAAGGGGCTCCAACCAGTCTAGCCCAATGCCTGGGAGAAGGGCCAGATCTTTAAGGCTCTCTGAAATGCCATCAGGATCGGAGCCCCTCGGATCTCAGAGGTAATCTCATTCCAGAGGGCAGGCCCCATGACAGAAGAGGAATGCTTTGGGGTCCCGATAGATGGCATTGCTTAATTGAAGGCACACCCCGGATGCCTTTGTTCCAATGTCATCTATTGGAATGCCAGTAGGTTTTAATTTGCTCACGTACTAGTATGCGTACCTGGAACAGGTATCTTTTGCTCCTCTTTAGCCAGCTTGGAAATGGAGGATCCTAGTATAAAGGTGAGTTAAAACAGTTTCTTCTGTAAGTGAACAAGAGCAAACACTCCCTTCTCAGTAATGAAAATCATAAAGTCCAAACAAGCCTTCTGTGCAGAAATTAAACAGAACAGTTAGCAAGCAAGCAAGTTAATTTTCCCCAGCTGAATAGCTTCTAGCAGCAAATACAGATTACATAATTTTAGTTATCCCCAGAAAGACCCTTCTCCAGTGCCATTACATTCTCATGTTGCAGGTTTTTGTTTTTTTTAAATAGCATTCTCCCAATGGCCAAAGGCCCAAAAGAAACAGAAAAGCTACTGAAGAGAATCCAGGAGCTGGAAGAGACTGTGCAAAGGCTAGAAGAAAGGCTCTTGGAGAACAGAAAGAGCAGGGGCAATGAGAATGGCCTCCCAGCATCAGAAAAGGGGAAGAAACGTCCCCAGCGGCCGTTTGATTTCAACGCCTACGGCCAGAGGCACGTGGCACTGAAGATAGCCTACCTTGGGTGGGGCTATCAAGGCTTTGCCAGCCAGGAAAACACCAACAATACTATAGAAGAGAAGCTGTTTGAGGCCCTGGGAAAAACCCGGCTGGTGGTCAACAGACAGACTTCTAACTATCATCGCTGCGGACGCACCGACAAGGGAGTCAGTGCATTTGGACAAGTAAGTCTAATACCTAATTTACATTAAAATGAGTATGGGGTGGACACAGAGATCTTGCTTCATTACTATTCATAATGCCCCCAACTTTTTAAAAGGCTGCTTGTGCAAAAATGAATGCTTTGTGAATTTCATTAACAATTTCCTCTATAACGTAAGAGTCTGATAGCACCTTTTCCAACTAATAAATTAAGACAAGCTTTTGTGAACTGCAGCTCACTTGATCAGATGCAGCTGATAAAAGCTTATAGGTGGTCCTTGAATTACAGCCACTTGTTCAGCAACCATTCAAAGTTATGATGGTGCTGAAAAATGAATTTAGGACTGGTCACAAAGTTACGGCTGTGCAGCGCCTCCAGTGTCATGTGATCACAATCTGGGCACTTGGCAACCTGTTTGCACCTATGGCCAGCTGCCGAGCACCCTACATTCATATGATCGCCATTGGCTACCTTCCCTGCTGGCTTCCCACAAGCAAAGTCAATGGGGAAGCCAGCAGGGGAGATTGGAAGTCGTTTGGGTAAGTTTCCCCCATCCACCCCAGCCTTTCTTCACTTGCACACACTGCACCCTCCTTCTCCCCGCTTCCCTCAAACGTACCACACCCCCTTCCTTCCCTCACTCACTCCAGTGCCCTCCTTCCCCCTTCCCACACTCTACACCCTTTCCCTCCTTCACATGCACAAGCACACTCTTTCCCCCTTCATTCACATGCAGTGCACCCCCTTCGTGCTATGTTGCAGCTCTAGGGCTTTGCAGGAGGGAGGAGAAAGCCTCATGAATGGCCAGCAGCTTCCAATGTGAGCTGCAGAGGGCACGCCAGATGCACCCCTGGAAAGTCCCCCAGCAAGTGAAGGAGGGCGCTGGTGTGAGCAAGCAAAGGGGGAAGGAGGGCCAAGAAGCCCGAGCTGCAGCATGGCAAGCAGGCCCAGAGCCGCACAGTTCTGGGACTGCTTCCACCCCACAAGGCAAGGTGCAGGGCAGCCAAAAGGATAGAGATGCAGGGGGAGTTGGAGGCAGCCTCTTACTTTACTGAGGCTCAAGGCTGGGAGGGACCAAGCCCAGAATGGCTTGGATGGGGGTGGGTCCTTGCCTACCCACTGGTGGAATTCACTTAACAGTAGTGGGGAGTGCCAGGATTGCGGTTGCTAAGTGATGCAGTCACGTGACATCTCACTTTACAACCACATCACTTAGTGACAGAAATTCTGGTCCCAATTGTGGTCGTAAGTCGAGGACTACCTGTACAACTTTTAATAACATTTGTTAGTCTGAAAAGGTGGTTTCAGACTCCTGATTTTTTGCCATCATAGACTAATACAGCTCTCTTCTTACAACCCATAATTTAAAGTGCTTTATTAGCGATTTGGGCTGTTGCACATCAGATGTGCTGATATGTAGCCAACTGCATATTCAATAGTTAGTTATTTTCCTGTACAGCATGACAACTGAAGAGTTATTGAAAAGCCTGAATGTAGGAACAAGAACTACTAATTTATTGGCAATGAGAATGGCCTCCCAG